GTTTGCCATTTGTAAATGGTTAGCCTTTTGTAGATTTTAAATTTTGTTCGAAGTCTGCTAAAGCCCAGGATTCGATGTCAGGACTATACAATATAATCAATACAAGATTCTAAAATTAACTGTGTAATTTATATCACAAACACACACACACTTGAAATGAGACATTAAATATAATCAGAATTATTTTGGTGGAGGAATTGATTGGACTAACTTGGTGCATGATGTAGCATTGCATAAACAAATGCTCAAGTTAGTTACAATTCTTGTATTTGGAGTTTCAAAGTATTAGTAAGTATATTCTGAACCCTTCTCTTTGTTTATGAGTGAGAATTGCGATGATCTCTGCTAGTTGTAGGATGTTAGTAGGGTACTTGGTCTCAATAATGGCTTTCTTTGCTGGATTGGCTTGGTGTAATGCTATGTCATTGGCTATATCTTTCGTGTTTAACATGTTAGGATGTGTCGTGTTAGGTCGTTTTTTTTCTTATATGGGTGTTTTTTCAATTTAGTCCCTATTATTTAAAAGGTTTCAATTTAGCATATCGTGTTTTAAGATCTTTAATTATAATCGGCTTGTTGATAAATATTAAAATTGGCATATGATGAGCTTACATGGCATGATGTATAAATTTGTGAGAGGAATTAGGAACTGTCCTCACTAATGTGGCTTAATTCCTCCAACTCATTAAGTATCATATCATAAACTTATTGGTAGCAAAGTATTTCTATTTTGGCAAATGGCTTAGATGGAATGGGTTCAAACTATGGTGGTTACTTACCTTGGATTTAATATCCTACGAGTTTTCTTGTCAACAAAATTTTCTTTATCAACCAAATGTAGTAGAGTCTGGTTAGATTAGTGCAGGTGTGCACAAGATGGTTCGAACATATTGATATTAAGAAAAAAAGTGTATAATTGAAAATAATTAAAAGAATACATTAAGAACTAAAACATAGGAAGGTTTCTCATTGAAAATATGAGGTCTTTAGAAAATGCATTAGAGACTTTATTGATGACAGTCTCATAGGGAATTTGGTTATATCCAAGTAAAGAATTATGCCTAACCACCAAACTCTATGCGTTGAATTTGATCATCAACAAAATTTTCATCTTTTAGGTCTTGATTATTTTGTTTTTTTATTTTAGTTTATAGACACTATTTTCACCTATATATATTTTTATTCTGCATCTACTTTTTAAAATTATTTTCAAAATCTAAGCTAAAATTTGAAAACTAAGGATGTTTATGATATTTGACTAAAAAACGTTAGAACATGTTCAAAAAATTGTGAGCGAACTAGCATAATTTTCAAAAATAGAAAAAAAAATTATTATCCAGTGGGATCTTAGTTGTGTCTAAATTTTATTTTGTTATTTAAATTTTCATAATTTCAAATTTAGTCTCTAAATTTTAAAACATTAATCATTTTGATATTTATTGTTATTCTACACCCAATAGATCAATGATGCGACTTAAAGTATGTGATGATGTGGGCTGAATTGAAACTACATAAATTGATTCCAGGAATTAAATTAATGGTTATTCCTTTTATTACTCTTTAATATGGTTATAATGCAACAAAGGGCCAAAATTAACATTATAAAAATTTTAAAATTTAAACAAAATTAAAGAGGTGCAACAGCAACCAATGTGTGGATCATATTTTCACATTTCTATTAATAAATAAGTCTTTAATATTACATTTATTTTTTCAAAGGTTTAATAGGGGTGGGAGTGATGATTTGAACTTTCAACATTTTAGTTGAAAGAATATTACTTAATTGTATATTATTCTTAAACAATATTGATTTGACTGGAGAAGACGATTATACCTAATCTACTGGTGCACATAAATAAACGTCATAAGTAAGTATGTTTAAAAAGAAACAAAAAGTAAAAGAAAATAAATAAATATTTATTAGACAAGTTTTAACATTTAGAGACTCTTGAGAAACAATATTGAAAGAAAAGAGTTTTACTAGATATAAAATGAAAAGTAAAAAAGAAAAAAAAGTCATTGTATCATGTGGAGCTTGGGGACATTCCTTGGCCTCCAAAGGAGCAAAATTAATGTTTATAACCAAAAATTATTATCAAACTAGATTTGAATAATAGATTTTAAGAGTTTGAAGTTGAAGAATCAAAAAGTGTAATCTAACCAAAATGGTATTTATAATACTAGGACGCTTAATGGGTCGCATCATCTTTTAAATGCCTCAACTTTGAATGCAATCTTCATGATCTCTGATAACCACTAGATATACATTCGAGTTATTTTTATATTTTTTTTTTCATAAATTCAAAATAATTTAGGGATATAACGATTTTTGTTTTTAATTTTTGGGTTCTCTAGTTTTTGTACTTTAAAAACAAAAACCATAAAAAAGTTTTGTTTTTTGTTTTTAAAAACAGAAAACTGAACATGTCTAATAATTATTTTTAGTTTTCTCTTTTTCGAAAATTATAAACTTGAAAAGATATCTTAGAGGGAGAAAAATCTATGTAAAGTAGAGACGTGGACAGAGTCAGAGATGCTTTGGAAAATTACGAGTTTAATAATTAATATTAATTAAAATTAAAAACGAGTAATAAATATACACAATTTATTTATATTTTATTGAAAAAAAATATTATTTACTAGTATCAATAATTAGTTTAAAAAAATTTAAATTTTATTCATAATTTAGTAAAACAGTTAATCAAATATATACTAATTATTTAGAAAATGAAATCAGTGACAAGGGTAAGACATGGTAGAAAATGCATTATATACATGAAAATAAAAATTTACAAAGATAAAAAAAATCCCTTTAAAACAAAACTAGTAAATTTTAGAGAGATAAAAGAAAAAATTGAAAGAAAAGTTAGAAAAAAAAATTAATGAGAGAAAATTAAAGGCAAAAATAAAAGTCGTTCACAGAGAGTAAATTTGGGAGTAAAAGACGAACAAGGAAAGGATAAGATAAAAGAAGGAAATTATACCAAATGACAGAGTAAATATGTGTTTTTAAAAAAGGTCAATACTTTTTGTTTTTTTTTTTTAAATTACAAAAGTGACTTTTAGTAGTCATGTGATTTTATACCGTTGCCTGATCCAGAATTTTCTTTCACAGCAGCTTCACTTCAAATTTAATAGAAATAATTTATAATCGCTGTTTATAACTAAATTAAATTATTAATTTAATATATCGTAATTGTTCTATATATATATATATATATATATTCTAAATTGCGAGATCCTCCGGGTCACTAATTATATAAGTTTACAATTTATGTCAATTTTTAAAATTTTAAACTTAATGTTATATATATAAATACATATTCTTTTTGTATTATTTTTCTAAAAAAGAAAGAAAAAATCATAGTGAGAAAAAAAAAATGTAAACAAAAAGTAATTGAAATATATTAGTTAAATTAAATAAAAAATAAAAATGATAGGGGAAGAAAATTGAACTGTTACCAAATCTCTTTTTCAAAACTAAAAATCAAAAATAAAAAACTAAAGACAATAAACAAAAAATGGTTTTCAATTATTCTTGTAGTCATTTTTTTAACGGTGTTTAGCAAAAGTATATATTTCCAAGGTTTTAAATGTCTATATCGATCGATTGAATTGTTGATGTCACAATTTCATGAAAATATCGATAAAATATCAATGTCGATGTCGATGAATATTTTCATAAGAGTTAAAAAATTAAAAAATTGTAAAAAGTATTTAAATTAACAAATAAATAATTTTCTATTTCTAAATAAATAAAAAATGATTAATATTAATATTATGCATGTCTTAGTTTCATTTTACTGATATTTTCATATTTTATCGAATTTTTTGGTAATATGATAGAAATGTCCATGGTCATGTCCACATGTGACAGATAATTTTTTTTATATCTGTAAGTGTCCGGACCAACTAAAGCGCACCTGACTAAGCAATCACGTCGGGAAACATATAGAATTCGGTGGCCTATCATGAAATTTAAATTCATTCTTTTTTAATTAATCCTAATTCCTTCGGATCAATGAGCTACACATGATGTCACGGGTGACGTATAATTAATACCCTCCTCTTTGGGCACCAATTTTATCCAAAGTTGTGTAGGAAATTTTGTCCAAAGTTGTGGAGGAAAGGAAAGTAAAAAACCGAACGGAAACAAATCATCAGCGTTCGTACTTATTCTGACGGTCCCCTTCATTCTCTCTCAATTCTCAAACCGAACCGATTTCTCAAATCCGATCCCTAGTTTCTTCTCCAAATCCTCTCAAACCAGAAAGCCTCGCATTCGCATTCGCAATCGCAGCGCATATGGATAATCAGAATCAGAATGATCGTAATCCGGCGGTTCCGTGGTCCTCGAAAACGGCGATTCTGGATTCTCCGCTCAACGCCGTCGGATTCGAGATCCAGACCTTATCTCCTCACAGAGTAGCCGGCCGCATTCTGGTTTCCCCTAAGTGCTGCCAGGTCTGTTTCTGTTTCGATTTCGATTTTTGAGTTTCGATTTTGAGTTTTGTGACAAATCGGAAATCGAATAAAAAAAAAAACGCAGCCGTTCAAGGTGCTGCACGGCGGCGTGTCGGCGATGATAGCGGAGGCGCTGGCGAGCATCGGAGCTCAGATGGCGTCGGGATTCCAAAGAGTGGCGGGATTCCATCTGAGTATAAACCACTTGCAGAGCGCGGAGATCGGCGATCTCGTTCTCGCCGAAGCTACCCCCATCTCCCTCGGAAATCCTATTCAGGTACCTCACTTTCTTTGGTTTTCTTTCTTCAGTTTCAATTCACAATTCATATCTTTGTTTCTGAAATAAGAATTTTGTTTGTTTGTTTGTTTGTTTCAAATTTGAGTTCAAGTGAAAAAAAATTAAATTATAAAAATAGATACATTGTCTAACTAATAGGGTTTTTTTTTTTGGGGGAAAAAAAATCATTGTGGACTCACATGTCCAACCATGGTTTAAAGAAAATAATAATAATAAAAAAAAATCTGCCGTACGATTTTTAAAACAATTATGTGGGCTCATTTGGGAAATGGAGGATTTGCACTCTTTTTAAAGAAATTTTTTAGTAGTATCCAATTTTCAATGTTATAGATATCTTAAAAAGCTTATTGAAATTTCAATTTTACTAAATAATCTATTATACATCTAAACTCTAAAAATTTAAGGACCTATCAACGAGGTTCCGACGTAATGGCAAGAGTCTTGAACTTTGTGGTATCACCTACTATAAAATCTTGAACTCAAATCCTACACCGCACTGGTCACAGTGTCGCTTGCCCCAATTATAGGATCCATGACATAAGCCACACAATATTGATTTTGAGAAATCAACGATGAATTTTTAAAGTATATAACTAATTAGAAGAACCCAAATTATAATTTAAGCTTTATATTTATATATTTTACTTTGTTTATCTTTTTGAAAAGAAAAAAGAGAATGTGAGAATAAGGTGTGGTTATGCATATGATTTGATTTAGGTGTGGGAGGTAGAATTGTGGAAGGCCTCAAAAACTTCAAGCTTAGAGAGAAGTAGAAGAGAGGTTGTGTCGTCCTCAAAGGTTACTCTCCTATGCAACTTGCCTGTCCCAAAACATGCCCAACCCTTGGTTGACACTCTCAAGGCCTTCTCAAAGTTATGAATCTTACAAATTAAAGAGTTCTTTTTCTTTCTTTCTTTTAACTATAGAACTTGATTACCACTCGACTCATAGAGTAATGAGTTATTGTTTCAAATCCTTAGTCCTGTTTTTTGTTTTTAGTTTTTATTAGAAAATTCGGATGGAAAACGTATTCTTACTAACTCCTCTTCCTCGTCAAACGATTGAACAATATTATAGATATATTTTGTTTGTTGCTTTCAAGTAACATTATAATTTAAAGATCATATTAAATATCCTTTATTACGTTATAGTTTAATTGATTTGAGGGATTAGGATCTTCAATTTGTTATAGGTTAAATTTTCACCTTATTTAAATTGTAGTTCTAGAAAGATAGAATTTATCGTGTAAAAGAAAACTTACCACATCCATAAAATATAAGAAAATCTATACATTATTTACTATTATTACTATTAATTTTTAGCAATCTACACGTTAAATTCAAAGGTTGTAGCTAAGGAAATTTTCAGGTAAATAAAAATATTATCAATCAAAGGAGTCAAAATTAAACTTTAATGTTACAATCGAATAGTGAGTCTTTTTCAGCTAAAATTGCACTACTAGATTTTTGAGATTTTCACGATGGTGATTGCACTACTAGATTTTTGGGATTTTCATGGTGGTGATGAACAGTAAAAAAAGTTGCAAAAATAAAAAAGCCATAAAATG